TATTATTATTACTATTATTATTACTATTATTATTACTATTATTATTACTATTATTATTATTACTATTATTATTACTGTTGTTATTATTACTGTTATTATTACTATTATTGTTGTATTTTATAATTGTCCCATCACTGCCTCTGTTCTATTTTTGTCATTGTACTTTTTATTTGAACAGCTATAAATTCATAAGCCGGTGGTTCAAAAACAGCGCAGCATGATAATTTTTTCAGCTGCTTTGACCGTCGTTGCGTCGGCTATGATGGTCATGCAGCTAGCAATTCTATCATGCATTTCGTTTTCCAAAGGAATTACCAGCTCAGTGGCTTTTCCAACAAAAACGTTTCGCAGTGCTTTAGCCATTTCTAGATATTTGCGGTGGGTATTTTGATCATCACTCTCTTGACCCGAACGTTGCTATCCCTAGATCTCGTCATGCCACCGTGCCCCGCTACGATATAAATGCTGGATGGGATTGTATACGACTGTTTGGGCCGAAACGTTTCTTTTCCTTTGTTTTGACTATAATTTCTGTCTTTTCATTAATTTATAGTGCTTTGATAACTCGCAATTACAGTAAGATATTGAAGTTACAAAAAACTTTGTCAGCCCGGTGGTTGTCGGAGACATTTGTTTCGCCATATCTGAAATGTTTTTTTTTTTTTTTGTAAATTGTGCGTATCACACATTTTTGTGGCTGGTGAAATGCGCGAAAATTTAGCGCGCTCATATTGTATTTATCTTTTCTTTGCTTTTTGTCGAATGAATAGTTTTATTGAAAGCATGAATATTTTTATGCGTTGGCTGCTGCCGCTTTAGGAATAGATGTAAAATGGTATCGAAATGGTTGTTTGCAGGAGCATGGGTAATTGCTTCTCATCGCGGTCGACGCGCCAGATGTCGCCATCGGTCTCGGGCATTCGCAATGAACGTGCATCGCCGAAATTCTCCGCTGATCGGAGCAGCGTGGAACCGCTCAAAGAAAGCAACTGCAATGAAATGCTAACGCCTCGAAGACAGGAAACACATGGTGGCCCACAAGGTACCGCTTTCTGATCGTATTTCTCCCCTCCCCTGCTTTTCCTTCATCCAGCATCGTGTCTTTTGCATTTATTTTATCTGATTCGGACATCTTATTGCGTTTTCAACATCGAATTCCGAACTATTTGACAACTAATTACTTCGTTTTCTGTTTTGCACAAATTATCACGTAACTTTTGAATCAGTAAGATGGGTGATAGCATTTCGAACGAACCCGTTTTGCTGTGACCATTTGGACAGCGCGTGTGGGTATCCTATAAAAAATTTAAACATACTGTAAAGGCAAAGATATTATTGCATGTGTAGTTTGTACTCTAAAAATGGGCGAATTTCTGACAGTGGAGTGTTGGTGGAGGTGTAAGGCATGCGTCTCCAATTTTTTCCTCAAAAGTATCTGGAATAGCTTAAATAGTTTAATTAGAAAGGGAAAAATATGCAAAAAAGCAGTTGCATTGTACAGAAAGAAGGCAGTTCAGCCTGAAGAACATAATCGTCAAGATCAGTGCTGTGCGCTTCAAAGTGAATTGAATTTGTCCATTTTTTTCCTCAGAAATGCTAGGAATAACCTATTTGAAAACGGAAAAATATCCAAAAATTTAGTTGTGGTGTAAAAAAGATCAGATTCAGTTACGGGAACCCGTTAATCAGGAGTATTGTTAAATTTAGCTGAGTTGGCCTCAAGACGGACCGCAAAATTTGGGAATGCGTTTAAAAAAGAATTGATTTAATCAGTAAATGATAAGAATAGTGCTTGTATTTGAGCTGCTTGGGCAAACAGAGAATGTCCTCATCTTATGTGTAATCCTATAATTACCCATTTCCCTCCTCCCACTAAATTCCTAACACTTCGACCTACTTC